TATTATCTGCAAAAAAGCAAGAGAGCTACGCCACAACAATTTCATGGGTCAGAGCGAAAGTGTCTTTTGCAATTTTGCGGAGCGCGCTCATATGTCTAAGGGGATCTAGAACCCCGAGAAGGAGGAACTTTGACATTAAAGACAGGGATCTGGAAGTAGAGAAGGGTCGAGCAAGACTTCCTTAAACTCATCAGTTATAGATTATTTTTATTATTTTTATAGTAAATTTTTCTTATTATTCTTTTGCGTTGAACTTTTGAAGACTTTGCATTTCCTTTTTCAAGAGACTTAAAGTAAGATCTAGACTACCTAAACAGCACATTATAATTTTATTATTCATAGCCATATAATTATGTAGTTTAGGTTAGTGATACTTTTTCTTAAAAGGAGAATTGTAACTTGCAAGATTTTTTTTCATTTTTTATACACTTTCATGTTAGATTCAATAAAGGTTATTTCATTTATTACTGACCATGTTGTTTTTAACTGAAGATTACGTGGGATGTTGTAAAGACGACCTCAGGGGAAACTTTGCAATGGATGAGCAGGCCGCAGAGAAGGATATAGTGGAAATGCGAGGTAAGTTCCTTCTCTCGATCTTTCTTTAATTTAGGTTCGCTTCCCTGTCTGCCATTGAGGTATAGCCTTCCTTTCTTGCCTGTCCTGAAGGATTCCAGGAGATTTTTTGTTACAACTGTAGTCATCTAGTTAACTTTTTTCGTCCTTAGAGAGTATTTACCTTACTTAACTGGAGTATCTATGAAGAGGGATATCGAAGAACTGAGCAGAGAATTGTTCAAATCTGAGAAAGCCCAAAATACTCATCCAAAAAACATGATAAACTTAGAGGAAAGAATGATTGACTGGTTTCTCGAAATCACATTTTAAACCCTTCGAAATAACTTAAGGGACTGAGATAATTCTTACAAAAATAATTATGCATAGAGCCCTATTTAATTGTTATCTTCGCTTTGAGGCACAGCATTATAGTCATTTGCAGTGCCGGTCAAGGAAGCTAGAGACAGTTTTTACCTCTTTTTCTCCATATTAAAAAGGGTTATCTGTCATTTGATGTTTCTGTGTGGGGTCGGCTTAAAGCTATTTATCCTTTAACGGTCGCGAGGTAACAAATTCGTTATGATGGAGGAGAAACCTCAGAAAATTGAAGTCGCTTAATGGCTTTATGCCAACGCAAGGAGCACAGAGACATCGCCTTGACAAAAGCTAAGCATCAGGTACCATCTTTATTTCATTTCTTTTCCCTGCACAGTACACTCTCCTACAGTATAAACGTCAAGAAAGCAAATCGCTTGTCTGTACCACTTGTGATAGCTTGTGATGTATTCGGTGAAAAAAGGAAACAATTTCAATTGCTTCTTTTACTTAATAGTTTTAATATTATGTTTTAGATTTAAACAAAATGGAACGTCGTGAGAGTACGGGAAGCGTGCCAATGCATCCGCGTAAAAGCCCCTTTCTTAAAAGAGTGAGAGGTAGGACTAGGTTACTAACCACGAATTCTTTTGCCTTTCTACTTTATCATCAACGGTTGATCATGACTCACATACGTAAGTTCATCTGAACGCACTTGAAAATGAGTAGATTGGTGACTTTTTTGTAAGTTTTTGTTTGCAGATCGGCGCTGTAACGGCGCTTAATCTTGTGCATGTTTCCCACGAAATGCCCAATATTTGCCTCGGTAGATGTAAGTCATTTCAATGTTTATTTCATTATGACTAACGTTCACAAAACAGATACAGAAACAAAGTTCTGCGGGAAAAGCAATTTTGGAGAAAGAACCTGAAGAAAAAAATGAATCTGCTCTTAATTACGTGTTAAAGGTCGCTTGACTTCTTGTTTCGAAACAGCTTGAGAATAACAAGCTGTTTGCTTCAGTAACCCAACTTTTCAGTAGGTCGATTCGTGGTCAGTCCACATTGGGAAATTCTTAGCGACAGAAGTCGTGACAAGCTTTCTGTCGTTATGCTCATCAGATTTGTTTTTGAGATAGTCAAGGAAATCACTTTCTTGCGAGGTAAATTTTGTGAGCGCCACGAATGTGACGAGGTTGTGGGATCAGTACGAAGGTCCTCTGTACCCTTATAATGGGAAGGTCACTGTAGCAAAAACGGTTGGTGAAAATAGAGGTGAAACCAAGCCTTATTATCCAAGTCGGTGTGGTCGAAATTCGAACATTCGTGGGTTATAAAGGTGATTTTGAGAAAGGTGAATTCTATCTTTTTGTGCGAGGTAGCAAAAGTGTCATCATCAAAATCCAGCAATATTGGATAATTCTTTCGGTAAATTTCCAGAGTAAATTTCCAGACTCGATCTTTTTCTCATAATTTACTATTGATTTCAAAAAGAGATACTGGACGAATCCTATTGGTCCTCAAAGCATAGGATCCAAAATACAGTCGAACCGTTAGCAACCACTTTTTTCGAAATACTAAAAGTTTCCAACTCAAATCACCATGAATGGAACGTGTCGAAAGGTCCGTAAACGACCACCTCTCGCAAGCGACCGCCTTTCGGGATGCTTGTTAACGTTTATAATTTTCGGCATCTAGTAAAATATGGACTGGATTGGATTAGTAAAACATGGATTGGATTAGTAAAACATGGATTAGTAAAACATGGATTAGTAAAACATGGATTAGTAAAACATGGATTAGTAAAACATGGATTAGTAAAACATGGATTAGTAAAACATGGATTGGTAAAATGAACGCTAAATAGGGCGAGTTACATTTTATCTTACTTTTAGTAGTATTTTATCTTACTTTTTTACTCTTACTATTCAACCAAATTATTTCGCACAAAATAGACAGTTTCATTTAAATACTGATGTTGCCTTTGCCCACCCGCAGGCGGTTTCGATCGAAAACAACATTCCTTTACCATTGTTTTGTTTGCGTGGAAAGTGACAGTTGTGAAATAAACTGTGCTGACAAAAGACCGCAAAAGATCAGAAACGCCACAAACGCACGCTACACCGAAATTAATATTCCTTTCCCAATCCTAGCCAATCACATTGTACTTTCCAAATTATGGAAAGTTGACCTTGACCGCAAGGTAAACTGATATTTTCCCAATCTGCATGAAACACTGAGAAAGCTTTCTGACCTCTAATAAATGTAAGATTCAGAGCAGCAAAAGTAAGGTTTAGTCAAATTTTAGAATACTCCGTGCCCTGCATAACCTTAGCGAAGGAAATCAAAGAAGGAAACGGTTACTCTGGGCCATCTAGGGTCACGTTTTAGTCGTGTGCGGTTACTCAAGCGTCACGTTTTAGTCGCGTGCGGTTTTTTGTCAGCACAGTTCATTTCACAACTGTCACTTTCCACGCAAATAAAACAGTGGTAAAGGAATGTTGTTTTCGATTGAAACCGCCTGCGGGTGGGCAAAGGCAACATCAGTATTTAAATGAAACTGTCTATTTCGTGCGAAATAATTTGGTTGAATAGTAAGAGTAAAAAAGTAAGAGAAAATACTACTAAAAGTAAGATATAATGTAACTCGCCCTATTTAGCGTTCATTTTACCAATCCATGTTTTACTAATCCATATTTTACTAATCCAATCCTTTACTAATCCAATCCAGTCCATGTTTTACTAGATGCCATAATTTTCAGTTGTTTTCAACCTCCCTTGGGCAACCACTAGACGGCTTTAGCTTTCACCAGCAGAAAGTAAAAATTGTTTCAAAAGATGTCGTAAAGTTGGAGCCACCGGAATTGTTTCCCGAAATAGCTTTACCGCGTGAATTAATTTTTGCTTGTATTCTGTTCACGGAAAAATTTGGACAGCACTACTTGGAATAACAAATGAGCCAAATTTTCGCATGAATTGTCCCAAACGCGCTGTATTCAATACTTTGTGAGATACTATATACTCACCATAGATCATAAGATTTTTTTTTCCTTGAATAAGCCCGCTAAAAGGTATTGCAACAGATTTCGATAAGCGAAGGCGAAAGTGTCCAGTCACCGTATGTAAATTACCGAAATACGGACCCCTTTTGGCCTGACCTCTGGTTAGCGACCATCTCCCGTAAGTGACCACCTAGACTTGACATTTTGGGTGAACGCTTACCGGAGGTTCGACTTAAGTTCAGTTTATCCATTAGGTTCTCCGCTGATAAGGACCGTTTATCGGTCTATAGCCTGATAGAGAAGGAATCTAAACAGGTTCAATTTATACCAAGAAATTGCTGTCTTTAGCATTCCGTCAACATATCAAAACTGGAGCAAATAACGCAGGTGTTCTTTTCTGCAAGGTTGCTTTGGTAAAAAGTCAGGAAAGAGTAAGAGGAAACCCACAGCTGCACAGCCCAGAAAGGAAGGTACAGCTACACTTTATTTTTTCTTTGTCTTCGTGTTAGATTATTCTGTTAGCAGATTTGTAGGTACGTTTAGGGAACACCAGTTTATGTACGACGTTGCCGGTCTGTGACGCTCATACACTGATCAAATAATGAACTCGGAATACATGAGCAAAATTTTGTTTTCTACTGCATAAAAACGTTCCGCTCAAAAATAATAATTTGCCTCAAACTCCTTGGTCCCATCCATGTATATGATATTACACCCCCTTGGAGAGTCCAATTCCAGAGACAACGAGGCTGATACTGATTTCGAGTAGGAGATAACAGCAAAGCAGCTAGACCCACCACACAGGCTGAAAAGAAGGTCACTTTGTAGTGCAGGTCAGTACGGGAATGCCTTAAATGACATGACAGACACTTGAAAAAGAGCACAAAAGACTGCATGTGGAGATGGAATTTTGATGTAAAATGCCCTCAACTGTAATTCCATCTTTTAGAACTCATTTAACACAGGAATGGTTATTAGATTTTATCATCAAACAAGTGTCCTTCACGAAATCCCTTATTTCAACTTTAGTAGCAGGAGGTGACAACACACCCACCATTGATTGGCCCACAAATTTTGATCATCACAGCCAGCGCAGTTCGATTTCTGGTTAGTAGAACAACTTTGACGAGACTGTGCGAGATTTTAACTTTTGATTCTTGATTAAAATGGATTTGTTTTATTTTTTTAGAATACGTTTGTGACGACCCGTACATTGAATCTATATATATTTCACGTATAGAATCTGCGTCCTCATATACTTGCCACAAATTAGTTGCAAAATGTCTTGGTAGTGAGAAAAGGATGCACAAAAAGTGACGTGTCCGTAAGAGACCACCGAGACCTGACATTTTGGGTGAAGGCTTACGGGAGGTCCGACTTTAGTTCAGTTTGTCTACTTTCTTTAGCATTCCATCAACGTTAGCAAGTTTTAATTCCCCAATAAAGGTCAAAGTTTTGGCAGCAAAACCGGGATTTTAAACCATAAAGTTTTATGCGAGTTTTTCTTTTCTTTTCTTTCTTTTTTTAATAGAGTAATGTATTATTAGTTACAGGTCCCTTTTTAAAACTTCAAGTCATTTCTTTTAAAATTTTAGGAATTTTTACTTTCGCACCAAATCATCGGAGGTCAATAAGCCTAGGCGGCATCCAACATTTGGAATTGTTTTCCGGTACCTTCGACAAGGTAAATCATACGTGCAATCCACCTAACTTCCCACATAACAACCGGAATACTTGCTTACTTACTGATTTTTCTGTCTGGTCTGTCTTCCTGTTTGTCGAACTGTCAGTCGTTCTCTTCATCAGTCTCATAGACCACTTTCATAAATGGATGCCGGATTAATATTCTTTTGTTTAAATTTAAATTAGCCCTTCTGGCCTCATTCTCCAGCACAAAATTCAGAAGAATACATCTCAAGCGAGGCCAGAAGGACTAATTTAAATTTAAACAAAAGAATATTAATCCGGCATCCATTTATGAAAGTGGTCTATGAGACTGATGAAGAGAACGACTGACAGTTCGACAAACAGGAAGACAGACCAGACAGAAAAATCAGTAAGTAAGCAAGTATTCCGGTTGTTATGTGGGAAGTTAGGTGGATTGCACGTATGATTTACCTTGTCGAAGGTACCGGAAAACAATTCCAAATGTTGGATGCCGCCTAGGCTTATTGACCTCCGATGATTTGGTGCGAAAGTAAAAATTCCTAAAATTTTAAAAGAAATGACNTCAACCGGTTCCGACCACCAACCGTCCCCACTCGAAGGCCGATAAACTCCGAAAAAGTCAACTGATTTCCCTCAAATTTCCACCCGCGAAAGGGCTTTGCAGATACCTACCCGTTCTAGCGGCAAAAGTTTCCAAATTCCGTTGCATCGATCCGAGAGCCGCTCCGCTTTACCCCACATTGGGGCGAAATCGCTTTGTGGGTACACGTAATCCTTTTGCCCTCACTACGGGATTCAAATATAAGCGCATCCGTCGAATTACACGCACGACTCCCCGACGGTGTTGTTTGACAATAGGGCAAACGTAGCAACCCTCCAATCGATCTCCTGGAGAGTCTTTTATTTGGTCAGATGCGGACCACAAACGACAAAGCGGCGACGGAAAAAAAGTAAGGAGACTTCATTCGTTATATTTGTCGCATGTATTATCCGTTTCAATTTTTTTCTTTATTTTTTTTTATAACTTTTCCTTTTTTAACGGACCACGCTTGCTCTTAAAATTTGATCTTAATCTGTTATGTATTCCCGTTAATGACCTTTATACCCCAAAATCTCACAAAATACACTTGGGCCGCTAGTGGTTATACTCGATTATGAAAGGAAAAAAATGGCCGTGAAAAAATTAAAAAAATAAACCTCAAAAACATCGTCAGTGTTGTTTGTCCTCCAAGCGGCACGATTTGAGATAAAAGTCTCATTGTTTCAGTGGCTGCATAATTTTGATGTTGTTGGGATATTGGTGTATTATTGTCATATTGAGGTTGTCAGTGTCCTCGTGTTATGACAGCTTTTAAAGGAACTTCAGTTACCTTGTGTTGTTAGGCTTTAATCTTAATGTAGGTAAAGACCAATCATCCCAAGCTATTTGAATATTAAACTCGTACGCAGATCAATTCGAAACTTCAACTTTCCCCAACCCCCAACCTCTCCCTCTCCCTCCCCCTCTCTCTCTCCCTCCATCCATCTGTCCATTCGTTTATCCACACCTCTCTCACTCAAACCATCCCCCCTTCTTCTCTTCCCCCTTCTCCCTGAATCTATCAGTCATTGCCTCCCTTCCTAAACCCACCCTTATGCTCCTTCCCTTCCCCTGTCTATCCTCCCCTCACTTCCTGTCCCCTCACTATATCCCTTCCTACCGTCCTTCACTCCGTCCCGGCATCATCTGTCCCACCGTCCATCTATCTGTACATGCATGATTCTCCTCCAACATTCTCACTCCTGCCTCCTGCTTTCTGCCCCGTGCATACCTTATTCCCACCCTCTCTCCCACCCTCCCTATAAGCTCCGCAAGTTAGACTAGCAATACTTGATAATTGGATTAGGTAGTTAGGTCATTTCTTCACAGAGCTTATTTCTAATTTCACCTCTTTTAGGATGAAAGAAACATGACAAAGGATGGTATGTAATCTGCCAAAATTAACTTTATTGCAAGCTTTGATTTTGTTTCTGTAAGATTACACAAGACAATATATCACCGTTTGAGCTCATACAGAACGTTTAGTTAGTTGTGATATGGAGTGCACCTATCTAATCAAAGAGTTTGGCGGGAACAACCAAAATGAGGAATGTTCTGGCTAAGGGTTTGGAATTGTTTAGTCCTGTTAGATTATATTGAAATGCTTGTGCGAGTTTTGTGAGCTTTGGTTTGTCATGTGCTGCAAGACCACACTTTAATTCTTACCCTTTAAATGATGTGTCCTTGACCGCTGTATATTATTATCGGGCTTAACTCTTGTACTTTAATTGTCATCGCTAGTCGTGTTTGGGTTTGTCCTTGACTTAGCTTAGAGTCCTCAACAGGAAGTTTTGAGTTTCGTCTAGGTTTAAGTTCTCGAAGATTGTTTGTTTTCCAAGTACTTTCTTGTTCATTTCGAATGTCTCGTCAAATTGTTTGGGTGAACCTTCTAAAAGTATGTTATTCTGCCAACGTCAGCTGTCCCATAAGCCCAAATATACCTACCGATGGGATATTTAAGAGCGTTTACCTGAGGCTAAAAGAGACACGGAGACACAGACATTCAGATGAAGAGCTATTAGGAGTCGCTAACCAAGAAATGAATAAAAGTTTTTGATCAGACTTCTGCTGCCTTCGTTTACGCGAGTTTCTCAAGCTAGTTAACCCTAACTACATGTCCAACAGAAGTATTGTTGGTTCCAAGCGAAGGGTTTCGCTTTTTCAATCGCAGAGCTAAGTAAGGAAGAGTCCAGTAATTGCTTTTCGACCCATGTTGTCCAACCGTTTTCGCTAATTATTACTTAACTCAGTGCTAGATAATTAAATAATTCTACTTGGCAGTAAAACAAAAAAATTGCTCCACTAAAACACGAGGTCCCTTTACATTTTCAGAACCAATAGACATTGATAGCCAGCCAAAATCTCAAAAGAAAGAAGAAGGTTCTAGAGTGGAATTTCAGTTCAAGGTCCGAGGAAAGCACAATCTGATGTATAAGTGGTTTAAAGATGGCAGTGAATTACCAAGGCAAAATAATGACACTCTCGTCCTTGACTGTATTAAGCTGCGTGATTTTGGTAAATACACGTGTGAAGTAAGCTACCAGGATCGTTGTTGCGTACCAGTGAAATCAAGTCCTGCTGAACTGGATGTCATTCCGACTGAAAGTCAAAGTAGAACAAGTGAGTGCTAAATGTGAAAAAAAGCTTGTTACTGAGTGGTAATCACAAGCCCTCTATAATTAGCACACTAGTAGCACACAAGTGTCATATTGATTTCCTTATCATATTTTGCCTCCTCTAAGATCTATAATCCAACAGAGACGCCGATTAGATCATAACTACAAAAAATCAATCAAAATGCGTGTATGATTCAACTTAATATATTTTCCCATTTCGCGTACATCGAGCCTACGAATGTACAGAAAAAGTTAGCGTGAGCCGCAGAAGTATAAATGGTGAAAACTGACATCCTTTCAGCGAAACGCTTGTCTTATATCTATATCAGTAAACTTCTGTAACATTTCAAAGGGATGTTAGTATGTTTATCTCCAATTATTGTACGACCGCAGTCTATGTAGCTATGAAGGTTTAATTCATTCGTCCTTCCTACTATCGTCCTTTTTCTTAATCAAGGATGTTTCTTCCCTTACTCCGCAGAGCTTAAACTTTTACAAGAAGTAGACTTCGAAACCCGTGAAGAACTTGCACGTATGCTTGAGAACGGCCTATATAGTCTTGGGGATTGGAAGCAAGTTGCTGCTGAGTACGGCATGAGAGAGAGATATATATCAGGTCTTGCCAATTCCAAGGAACCTGGAAAAAACGTCATAGAGTTTCTGGGTGGTTCTCATCCAGACCTGACGGTTTACAGCTTCTGCAGGGTGCTAAAGCACCAAAAAATAAGACGCTTAGACATTGTAAAGCTCCTAGAAGATCATTTTTAACCAAGACATAGAGAGATTAACCCTCTGGTTCACTGCGAATTACTTGCAAGTAAACGCTACTGAAACTCAGGCAATGATACTGGGGAAATCTCGGTACCCATACAATCTTTTTATTGTTGATAATTCCATGCCCTGTCTCCAAACGTTTTCGAATCAGCCAAGCGTTCATGATAATGAAGCAATTGTTTCCCATGATGATCTCAATAAGTCTTCGTTCTTATATCTCAGCAAAAAAAAAACAAAACAAAACAAAAAACAGTCAACTGTACTTTTAACCGTGGATGTTTAAGCAGAAAACACTGGAATATATATCGGCTTTTTGTCATTTAATTCGAATCTCCTATTTGTTTGAGTCGAGATAAAAATCTGGAACTCATAGCATATTTAACTATCCGGCTAGTAAGGCCATAGGACCTGCTGGTTATATTTATCATATTAATTTTTTTTTCTTGCTCCGGTGATAGAGTGGAAGCTAATATAATAAATAATGGTGCAAAAGCCACGATCTCCATGTTTTTCTTAATTTAACAAAGTTCTTATTCTTTTGTACAAGAAGTTTGTCCAGTTTTTCTTAAGGAAACAATTTAACTTTCTAATTGTGTCCTTTACTACTTTTTTCACTTCCCTGATTCTCCTGCAGCTAGTAAAGAATGAGTTTAAGTTAAATAGAAAATATGCCGTATTCTCTACAAAATGCATCAATGTAAAACAAAATGGAGAGTAGTCAGCAAATAATCCAAGCTGTACTTACGCTATGGCGGAAACTGTTTTCTTGTATCGTGCAACTTTCAATGCAGTCGGTACAACGCCGCTGGAAAACAGCTGTTGTTGTTGTTAGTGAACCATGATGGCCTATGGCCCTGTACATGAAGTAGTTGGTGACGGAGGCGGAAAAAGATCTTGGCGTCAGAGGTGGCCGAGATGATAAAAGAAGAAAACTCAAAACAGCATATACCAAAAAAGAAAATATACAAAATTAAGAAAAGTGCAACTAAGGCACCAACCAAAACACAAAAGGAGATAATTAGTGATATCAATCCAACACAAAGGTCATTGACGGCCATACTGATCGAAACAAAAGTTTTCCTGGAGGATAAATTGAAGTCACTTTGTGAAAAGCAGTTAGGATTAGAAAAACCCAGCGAGACGCCAAGCTCAGACACAGTGGCGAAAAAAATTCGGGGCTGGGAACTGAGCACACATCCCCCCATGTGACCGAGGACTATTTTTGAATAAGCACTTTTGATTCTTTCTTTTATCCATTTTTTTTTTTTTTTTTTACATTTCTCTACTAGCAGCAGAATTGAATACTTTTAATTTTGGAGGAAAATAATGAAGACTACCGTAAGTGTACAGNAAATCATTTTAACGCTCTCTATTGAGGCGATATTCCTTCATTTAATTGCTAAGACAGAGAACCATCCCAAAGTAATCACTACCCCAAAATGTTGGATTGTCTGTGAAACAGGTTGTCACTAGTCGTAGAAGAGTTCAACAAATCATGTTCATACCATTTGCTTTTGACTTTACTAAAACAACATTTGTAAACACGAAACTTCATTTTGAATTCCCTTATAGAGTTTTACATTGTTTTGTAGGACGTAAAGTTTCAATTTGATTCACTACAACACTTCAACTCTCTAATTGTGTCCTTTACTGCTTGTGTTACTTCCCTGATTTTCCAGCAGTAAAGAATGGGGTTTAGAGATGAGTTTAAATAAAGTAAAGATACGGAAAAGTACAAAACATTAACTCCGAAAGACACTCCAAGATAATTTGACATTGAAATAACACAGAATGGAGAGTAGCAAGCAAATAATCCAAGCTGTACCCATACTATGGCGGAAACTGTTTTCTTGTATCGTGCAACATTCAATGCAGTCGGTACAACGCCGCTGGGAGGCAGTTGTTGTTCTTGTTGGCGAACATGGCCCCGTACATGAAGCAGTTGTTGGCGGAGACGGAAATAGATCTTGGCGTAAGAAATAGTTGAGATGAAAAGGGAAATAAATATTAAAACAATATATCCATAAAGCCAAAAGTCACCTGAAAAGAAGACACATCCAACTGAAGCAACAACTAAAAACCAACAGAAGATAATTAGCGCTCGCACCCGCCTTAATGTAACAACATGTCTGTATCTCAGACCCAACAACAGCGCGAGAAGTCTGTCCACACTAATTGCGGTTGATGTCAAGAGTGAAACTCCACAAAGTATAAAAGAGGAACAGGGAAGTATGATATCAATAATGAAGTTGGAGCGGTATATCATTCTTTCGTCAATATGTATCACTGTAAACAGCGGTTGTGCAATGATTCCAACACAAATATCACTGACTGCCAGACATCGAAACAAGAGTTTCGTTGGAGGATGAATCGAGGTCACTTTGCGAAGAGCAATAAGGATTAGAACATTGCCCAGTATCGCAGTGATAGAGAAAATTATGTTCAAGGATGCAAACGCTACTTCCATACCCTCAGGTATCACCGGATCACTGAATTCAAAAGAGGAGTTTGTACGTTCATCCGCGGTTTTCAGCTTTCCTCTAACAACAGCAGAGAATCTGTTATCAGAAAGGGAGATGACGGCAATTGTAACTGTTCCTGCTTGTCTTCTTTTGACCGCTTAGCCTGATCGTTTGGGTGAGAGTAGTTCTGAGCAAGACTGTCGTTGGTATGGTAGTGACTGCTGTTTTGGGAACTGCTGCTGAAGCAACCAATAACGGAAAGTGAAGAGTCTTCGTCAATCGATATCTATAAAACTTGTTTGCGTACACTGATTGGTCAGTTTTACTTTGACGTAATTGGCCATGAGACTCAAATAAACGGTAGTCGTGTTGATCGGCCCCTTTCTTATTTAAATATATCCTAAGTAAACCGATTTCTACAGCGCAGATATGTGACCATATGGGCTAAGCACACTAACAAACGACCATGCAAATTATCTTGAATTCCACTTCAGCTTTGACTAGTTTAGTTTTGGCCTGATCAGATGATCATGCAAAGTTTCTTTCAATGATATGGGCTGTCATATTTCTCAGTGTGTCCGAAATTAATGGTAGTGCTTTAATTTGAAAAGATCCTGATTGAACCAGCTGCACGAGGGATGGATTATTTTACAATTTGACTTTCAAATATAGTAAAAACATCGGCAACAATTGTTGAATTGTCAAACTTGTACGTTCCCTAATTCTTTACCGCTGGAAATTAACCCTCAAGGAGAACAGCTTCCTTATAGGCCAGAACCCGCTCAAATTACTAGAGATCAGAGTGAAGAAGATCCCACAACATGATTGTATCAATCAATTTGCAGATCATTATCTAAGTGTTAGGGGCAACACAATATTTTGTGGTGCTTTCAGAGAGGTTTTTTCATAAAAAAAAAAAGCATTTTATCATCCCNCCCATTTTGTTGTTGTTGTTATGATCTGTTTCTGAGTGATAGAAACTATGGTGTGTACCCATTGTCTAGTTTTTTAACCACTTACGATCCTCCTGACCTGTTGGGCATCATTAAATTGACTAACTTCTGATCAGCCCAGTGTCTTTAATTTCCTCAACCATTGCAAAGAAAGGACGCCCTCTAAGGTAAGAATCTAAGCATATGACGTCAGCAAGAAAGAGATGAAATAGTTCCTTTTCCGATGAAATATGTATGCCGGTCCATGAAATTCGTGGTTACTGAAAAGCGATTAGTTAGAAGAGTTCTCTTGTGATGAGTTTGTTTCTTTCTCCGCTTCAGGTAACGAGCATCTATGATCTTCTTATCAAGTTTTATTCTCACGAAATTTCCGATAATTCAAGCTTGCGATCTTGTTTTTGCACAAACGCCGCTTATCAGGGTCTGAAGCATCCGATGAAAAAACACAACAAACATTCATTCGTACCAGACTTCTCTCATCGTTATCTGACAGAGGATGTCCCGTATGGACTGGTGGTTATCCGGGGTATAGCGGAAATCGTACAAGTGGACAAGCCTACCATAGACAAAATTCTTCTGTGGGCTCAAGAGAAAATGGGAAAAGAGTACCTTGTCGGGTCTAAACTTCAGGGTAAAGATGTTCTTTCTACGCGAGCACCTCAAAGTTATGGACTGACCTCGCTAGACGCTATTTTAGGAAAGCCTAGTTTGTAGCTCTTAAAAGGTGTCTTATATTCATTAAACCTGGTTCAATAGATATTAAACTGGTTAACAAAGACCGACAATCGTTGCCCATGATCTTCATGTTTCACGAGGCTTTCGCAATGGAAAGTATTGTCTGACATAGGCTACTTTGATATTAATTTAATAACAGCAATAACAGAACAATAAAAAGGTTAAAGAGCAATCACTGTCTTAAAAAGGTTTCCATACAAACTAAGTATAGTGTAGTGATAAGAAATCGTAAATTAGACAACAATGTTTTTATAATATTCGAATAATAAACAGAAGGATTAAAAAGCATCGTCGAAAAAACAAAATGGCGGTTGGCGACTGAATTAGACGTAAATCAAGACCCCACCATGCGCTTTTTTCCTCCAGTTTGCATCACGATAAATAATAGTTGCATCGAAATAAAGTAGACTAAAGATCAGCTGAGTAATTTTTATGACTCCGGAAAAAGCGATAAACCAATCTAACCTTAAAGGCAAGGCTGAACAACAGACCTCAATCGAACGCGTCATTTTAACTGCCAACACACCTCGATAACCACCATCTTGAGTACACACGAAGAACAGTATCTATTCACCAATTTCCAGTAGAAGTATTGGAACATACGGCGAGAAATAACGAATAAACAGCAAACTTTTCGAATTAGGTGAGAAAATCTTCGATTTCCGAAATGGTCGCCATGTTGTGACGTCACGAGGCTACCAAATCTGATAACTATCCCATACTGTTTATGGCGAGTATTTTTGCTCGTGGATAAGGTTTGAGTCTCAATGGCAGAGTGTCGTAAAACCAAAACCAAAGTAAATGCAACAAACGCCAATCAGATAAATGGAACATATAACAAGGAACCAATGAGAACTTAAAATGAAAAACATAGGCATGCTAAGCATGGAAGGGTTTATTTTTTGGGATTAGTGGCATGAGGTGAGATGCTTTGCGTAACCAATGTTGTTATTCTCGTCAAAGAAAAAAAGTATTAACTTTTAAAGATTCCAACCAAAATGTCGTATTACTTTACTTAATTGGAGGATAAAAACCCTTCCAATTTATCTGAAGTAACCCCTTACACAGGTCTGTGATGTACTGTCTCTGTTGTCGAAAAATTAATTGCATTAGTGTCGCTCTTATCGCCGTTCCGTAAGAGACAAGATCAAAATTATTCTGTCATTTGCCTCACTCTGACATATTGTACCAGGAAATTTGACTGTGGAAAGCAAAACCGAAACTATATTACTCCAATTAAACCTGTTCTCCGAATAAATTACATTTTATTAAACGAAGAAGAAGTGACTTGGAATAACATTTGACGATAAAAACTTCCGACAAAACGTTGCTTGATAACATTGTAAAATTTAAAAAACGATAAAAAGCTATACAAAGCTGAAATCGACCACGTTTCGACGTTAACATAACGTCGTTATCAAGTCAAGAATCTATAAAAATAAGTTCTTCAAATACTAAAAACGAACAATAAGAAAATAATTTTCGGGTTAAACAAAAAGTTAAGCACGTATGGAGTACGTTTGCACGTTCAGATTAGGTTTGAATTTCTTAATATAAAGCATTTCATTTCATTGATTGTTTAGTGTTTGACGAAAGAGAACGAAGAGAGGAAAGGCTTTCGGGTGGGTTAACAAAGTTAACATGAGCTCATTAATTGGTTGCTTTGAAAATTGACTAAAAGAAGTACTTTGGTCGGGTTGAACTTTTTTCAGCGGGACAGAATTATGTGGTAATGTTTACCGTGTTTGCGCAAAATGTCATGTAATGGGGCAACGCCTAATAAACAATGACAAGAAACAACGAAACCGTGTTGGGAAATTATCGTTTAAACACGGAGGGCCGGTTCTTTATAGGTAGTCTAACCCAAACCACGGTTTTTACGCAATAAGTTGGCCTCAGGCTTTCATTATAAGAGGGTTAATTTAAGTAAGTAAATGTCCTTCATTTTTTTCTTTTCTTTTCTTTTCTTTTCGTTGTTTTGACTCCTCTTAAAACAACTGTTAATATCATCTCGGATGTATATAATCATGAGAAAAGTAAGAGTATGCTTTATGGCCGTCTAAGACAAAATCATATCTGTTTGGAAAACATGCGTTTTGTGTCTGGTGGGTTCAGATAATTCCCGAATTCTAGGACCGTCTATTTAAAAATGAAGCCGATAGCGAAAGCTGTTTTGTAACGAAAGACTCCTATGAGCTAACTCATGATATATCTTAATTATTCAAGTGGGTGAGCACTTTAATTCTCAGCCATCTCCAACCGATAGCAAGTGAAGGACCCTTTAAATGACTAGTTGATTATCAACTTTTAAAGCGTTAGCTAGAGCACTAAAATTTGGAGCTAGAAGTAAACCATAAACATATACCCCACAGATATTTGAACAGACAGTAGAACGAACCTTGGGGACAGAAGCAAACCTAGTAGGGGAGGCAAGGGATAACGCGATTGATCCAAGTCTTAACGCACGCATTAACGTATAACAGATCAAAGAATGGCATGAGTGAGTGAATTTTCTTTTCATACCTAAACCTCATTGTAAGACATCTTACTTGCGTCATCATGAGATAAAACTAAATGACTTATATTCGGGAAAATTGCATTTACCCTCGTTTTAAAAGAGGCTTCCCTTTAAAAAGAAAATAGGCTAAGATCGACGCGATACGAAGCGTGTGACGACAGAATAAAGATAGGGAAAAAACTACGCGAGTGACTAGTGTTGCTGTACTGGGATTTCCAACAAAGCCCACGCGGGAAAATTCATCATGCTTAGTTCGTTGTTTACTTGACTTCACGCCACGGCCAGAAAATTGCGTAGCGTTACGTTGAAAATTCTGAAAAACTACGATTTAACACAAAATATTCCATTAAACTGTACTTTTTTAACACATTGTAACTCGAACATAGTATTTACCAGGCCATGTAATCGTCAAATTGTCGCTTGGCCCTGCTTGAAGTCTGAAAGTTCGGTTTCCAATTTACGTCCACAGTTCGCATCGCTTTTGATAATCGTACTGTGGTTGATTCGAGAGCTTATTCTGTCACCTTTAAGACTTTGATATCCATTGTTTTCCAAGAAGAGTATTCTATAGCATTGCTACTTTATATTCTGAGCTCCACAAGGTCTAACTCGATCGCAAGGGAACGAAAAATCCGACTTGAAAATTTTGAAGGTCGGCCGCGTGGACGCCATATTTTCAAATTTGATCAATTAATGTGAACGCACAGAATGATACCCCTCTAGTACCCCCTAAAGCCATCAAAATATATGCGCAAACGACGGATTCTGGTTGGTTTATTGATCTCCAAACTATAGAGGAAGTTTGGGGACAAAATTCTGCTTAGTAGGGGAGGTAGGGGGAAAGCGTTCTCGAGCGAGCCAGTCGTTCGGTCGGTTATGGGCGGTTAAGCAAAACGAAAAATTTTTTTTTCGCGTTGCGGGTTTGATCCAACCACTCCTTCGTAACAATAAAAGTTACTATGATTGTGGCAGTACCATAAGGCCATCTACGGCATGACTCACTAGACAGCATAAGCATAAAAAGAACGCAACCTTTTGACAATCTTTCTCATATATGCTTATAATAATAATAATAATAATAATAATAATAATAATACTAATAATAATAATACTAATAATAATAAT